GGGAAAGAGCGTGTAGTCATAGATGTTCTGCACAAACAAATACTATTTCTTATACCACGACAATTTCTTTTCGTATGTACTATGAATCTGAATACTTTAGAGTACCCCTGCTTCAAGTGAGCCGCTTTGTTGCAGTGTAAACTGCTGTCTGAAAGAGTCAGCATGGCAAGTCTTAGCTCAACTGAGATAGTTTCACAGGTTCAGAAAGACTTAAGAAAAATACTAGATGATTCATGACATGCGATTTGTTTAAGAAACTATTACCTTCCTTTGTCATCCTCACAATTGACAATGCTGGCATCGATGGCTCCAATAAGCAGTGATGCACAGTTTTCATGATCATTGATTCTGCCAAAGAAAACACATTTTCAAAAGGGTAAAATCTACATCTTTTCCCATTTTACTGTATTAATTCCCTTCACCTCCCATTAATATTTTTTACTGGTTATCCTAACATACCTTTCCTTAGTGCTTTCAGTCACATTTCTGAATATTCATCATATCTCCACTTAACCAAACTGTACCTGCTACTACGGATTTCAATCTCTAAAGCAAAGCTGATCCTGCAGTTCACTATGCACAAAGGTAATTGAAAGTTCTGCACAAACCTAGGATTAAAACCTTAGTATCTTAAAATCCTTTAGTTTATATGTCAAATACACGTGGACCTGGAAAACACTCAGTCAAGGCACTTTTTTTTAAAAAAAAATCATTTAAAATTCAGATTTCGAATACTATGTTTCAGCCACAAAGTATTTTATTTCAAGCAGATTAAAAGCAGTGCTCTCTATATGCTTTTATTTCTCTAATATATTACTTTTCTACTTTCCAGTGACATGGACTGAAAAAGGAAAACCTACGCAATAGGAACTCCTATTATTATTTCTGGAAGACATTCCATCTTGTAATTGAACATATAATAGAATACAGTTGTCCTAAATGTTGGCAGGAATTAAGAAGGTTTGGATTTGTCTTTATGATGCTTAATTCCTTACTCTTCTAATGGCTGACGTGTTTTAATAAGCATAGGCATAACTCCTAATAGCCACCACCTTTTTCTTGTTCTTAAGTAATGTGAGAACTTTGGATACAGAATTTGCCTCTAAAGCTGATCAATCCTTTTGGCTAGGACCTAGGTAAGAAGTACCAAACCTTTAAGACATGAGATTATCTCAGAAGGAAAAAAGACCATGAGGGAAATCAGACTGGAAAACACTCAGCTGAGCATGTCTTGGCAAAAGTATGGCCTGCACGAAACACCATTCTAGCATAACATAGATGCTTGTTTCAAAGTCCTTTCTTCATTAAGAGTTTGTTCCTATTGCTAAAAAAGAATCACCTTGATTCTGACAAATTTATCAACTTTCAGCCACTGCCTTTCAAAGGAACCTCAAAAGCTCATATGTACACACACCAAGGCACTATAGCCCAGGTCACAGCCTAAGAAAGGAAGAGCTATTAAGTTCCACCCTGTGTGAAGAAAAGGCATAGGTCTGTAATTGTCAGCAAGGGAAAAGAAACTAGAACGGGAGCAGAAATGCAACTATTTAATTATAAGTTGATATTTTATCAAAAAGCCTAAATGTATGAATTTTCTGCAAAAATACTCTTTATTCTGCCACTTTTTCAGCAGAAGTATCAGGACAATTTAATGATCATCTTTAAAGTAACCTCAGAAAAGCATGCTTTCTTCTCATACTGCTGCTTCTTCCAGACATATCCTAAAGCAACATATCTGCAGTTGTTATTGGAGATTCCTACTTACACGGCACAGTGCAATGGAGAGAAGCTATTACCATAGAATTTGTGGAAAAATTTTTGTTCCAATAGTACCTCTATGCAGTTTTCATGACCTGTAAGAGATCAGACATGTCACAGTGTTGGGCAGAGCAAGTAATTCACTTCATTCATAGTAGGCTTACACAGATTAGATTTAATACTTGAAGTTCCAGGTTGAACACAATGTGTATATAAGCTCTTCCATGATAAACAATAAACAGATTTATTTATTTATTTATTTTATGGCAGCAGCAAGATAGATCCAGGCTAATATTAGCATTTATTGAAAAAAGAGGAAAGGAAAAAAAAGGTATTTTTTAGGTGATGTTCTTTAAGTTGCCTTTAAGCATCTCCAAAGATGATCTTAACTGATGATACTGAGAAGTTTTATCCTCATATGAAGCAACAAGATCAGATGATCCAGTTTAGAATAATCAGTTCAGAATAGCCATCTACTCATGTGGTGTCTCACATCAATAAATAAGAAGGCGACACCTCAAAGGAGCATTCCTGGCCCCACAGAAATCAATTTCATCATTGACATCAATGAAACCAGAATTTCACCCTGGCCTCCTGTGACAAGGAGGAAATGAGCTGCAAAGCCACTGGGAGGTAATGCTGCAATTTCCCTGGCTTCTGAGCTGAAGGGCAAACATAGCAAATGGTAACTACAGAAAGCGAATAGAGGGGAGATAATTTACTTCTTCATTTCAAGCTCCTCAAAGTGTTAGGTTGCTTTGTTAGCATGTTTCCCTAAAACTGAGGCCACATTTGAACCTGGCAAAAGCCCACAGGGAGAACCTTACCGTTGTAACAAGCCCAGTGCAGCGGTGTATAACCTTGATTATCTTTCAAACTGCAGTCCTCCTCTGAAAGTGCTATCTGCAGTAATTCACTCAGCCAAGTGGCGTGACCCAGAGCTGCTGCAAAGTGCAGAGGTGTTCTGCCTCTGGCGTCTTTACATAAAATAGATACTTCTTTCTCTAACAGCATCTGAACACACTCTTCGTGCCCAGTCATAATCTGGTAACAAAGAAATGAGTAAATAGATTGACATAATACAGATTTTTGGCCAGGAAATATGGAATAGGATTGATGCCTGTGAATGTGAGATGGCCTAGATGGGATTCAGAAGGCAGAGATGAAAGCTCCTTTTCTCCCATGAGTAGCTTTGATAACTGATCTACTGAAATGCATTTGGCACTGTCTTTCAAAGGCATTGATTCCTAGTCTGTGGAAGAGACTCCACTAAGTGAGGCACAAAAGCAGGGAGGAGTTTAAGACTAAGGAAACAGATGAAATAGGGGTGAAGGTCACAAAACCTGAGTCAGGATTCTCAAAACCATGTATGATTATGAGAGAACTGAGGGATAAAAGAATCAATATCATCAGAAATAGGAAAAGCTGCTTTTACAGCTGTCCAACTAGTATCAGTGACCTCTGTATCACACCTAACTTAACTCTGGTGTCCTGGGTGTGGTAATGCATCGCTATCAATATAGAACATATGCCATTGCTTTTATTATGTGCTGGATTCCTAAGCTGAACTGCTCACTGCAGTTATCAGAGAGTTCTGTATAAGTATCACCTCTTGCATCAACTTCACATTGGCTAAGAAGGTGACTCCCAGAAAAGATGTACCTCAAGTTTCACTGCCTCTGTATTAAAAACTTAAGCTTTCCTTATTTACACCATCTCCCCAGCAAAAATGAAATAACTGGGCAGTTCTTTTAAAGAAATTATTTTCAGAATTCATAGGTGCTTGGTTATAAGAATAATTATTTCTATTGTAAAGTGTCTAGAGGCAAGAAAAAATGGTCTAATCAGTATTTCAGCTAATCACTTAAAGCAAACATAAAAGAAAGTCAAAAGCACAGCATTACTGAGAGTGGATCTGTCCTGCTTTTCACCTTAGTGACTGTGCTTGGTTATGTTTCCAATCATTTACAGTATTCCCTACATACAATGTCCCAGTATTTACGAGTGAGTTGTAGTCACAGTAAAATGAATAATTAAGAATCATAAAAATTAAGTCACCCCTCGATGTAAAGCTGTGCATCCCAGGAGATCAGCTGCATCTACAGATGCTTCTTTTTCAAGTAATAAAGAAACAGCATCAATGTGCCCATATGCCACTGCAAGCATCAGTGGGGTTCTAGAAAAAAAACAAAAACAAACCAGTCACAGCTATAAAATGACATTCTACTTCCTAATGCTACCTTACAGGAACAGAGAGGTCAGGAAGCCCTGTATTTCTCTCCATTCCTACCCACAAACCTGTTTCTTTCTGCACACTTGTCTATGTAACACCCAAGTGAAGACCTTTTCTATAAAGTTATCAAGATGTTTAACAATCTACTACCATGAATGAAACACAGACTCATTTTAAGCAATTTACACAGCAACATCATTCAAAACAATCTATTCTCTTAATAACCTACAGTTATCATCACCTCCACGAGCTTTACAATACGCAAGTGTTGTGAACGAATGTCCCTGCTAGCCACCAAGATGACAGCCACTCAAAGCATTTCTTTTGCAAATGCTGAGCAATTGCTTAAAAGCGATGAAGGGACATGAGGAAACTATTCCAGCTAAAAATGGGACTAACATATCTTCATTCTTTTCTGAAAGAGATCTATTCTCCTTCTATTTTTAGATAAGATTAATCCCGTTTAAAATCATATGTACCGTCAGTTACGTTCCAGGCACCCCACGTGAGTTTTTTAATCCATATTTTCACTTTAAAAATAGAAGTTATTGTCCCTCTATAACAGTCATTTAATGAGAAGTAAAAGTTTTGTAGGAACATCTCAGATGCACATGTCACCTCAAATAAACATTCTGTCCCATTGCACCAGCATAATATACCAAGTAAATGCTGAAACAGCAATGTTTGAGAGAGAACAAGACTCTCTGTAGAAACATCTCAGGAGCTTGTTAGGTTCTATTGAATCTGGCCCTCAGCATCTATGAACAATTGTTCAATGTATGAAGCGGACCCTAAGATTATGTATAATCCTTCCCAAATGGCTTAGGTCAACTGAATATGTACTTCATAATCTCTGCCAAAATCTATAAGGAATAGTGCAGGAAATAGAGTATTTCAAGGTTTTTGGTGAGAAATCTGAGATGCTCTTTGAATCACAGAGCTGGAAAAAAACCCATCACAAATAGAACTTACTGTCCTTTGGCATCTGTCACGTCAGGGTTGTCTGCAACTTCAAGCAACAACCGTAAACAAGGTATATGGCCGTTAATGACTATAAAGAAAAAAAGGCATGTTCGATTAAAATATGTTTAATTTCAGACACTTTTCCACTGGAATGTTTATGGATAAGAAGTTTCCTTGCAAACGAGGAAGATACTCCACAGTGTAAGAAATTAATACTCACACAATTTTCATCTAACTCGTGCCTGTGAAATGGTGAGCTGTTATTTCCCTGACCTCGGTAAGATGAGGATTAATTCCCTTACACACAAACATCCCAACTGAATAAAGCAGAAACTGTGATTTTCACTGCTGAGATTTCTCCTAAACCACACAGCATTTCAAAATCACACAGACTGAGCAGACACACAAGGCTTTTTGTGACCAGGTTTGGAACCACAGCAGGAGGTACGTGGTCAAAGCTCCTTCTTCGTGTGTGCACCATAGAAGCAAGTTCTTCAGTGCTGCTAGGAAAACAGAATGACCGACCATACAAATGTCATATTTGTAACAGCACATCACACCAGAAACTAAAATTCCCTTTGGGTTTTCCCATCTTTTCTCATTCAATGCCATTGGAAGCCACAGCTACTTCTCAAAAATGGTATTTTCATTTTAAAATGTAACCCACTGTTGCTTAAACGGCTTTGAGTTACTACGTTGTGCAGGGCCTGACACTGGAAGCCCATCTATGTGTCAGCTGGCTTAAAGGCTTCAGCCTTTCATGGGATGAAGAGATCAGTATTTTCTTCTTTGAAAAACAATAATTCCTGTACTCAGTAGCTGTAGATTGTGCTCTTATTACAGCAAGTCATGCATTCACACTGCCTACACCCTGTGGGCTGAGGCAGAACCCTTGGACACCACCTCTGTCACATCACATTTAAATAACTCATCCAAAAATAATCTTAGTTGCTCTAACCAGACAAATAAAAGACATTTTTAGCTATTTACCACTAAGTGATGCCATATACATAACATGTAAACAGTTCTGCAGGGCTGATGAGTCACTGGCTTGGGGGATAAAAAGATCTGTTCTTTCTCCCAGCGGGAGGAAGAGAAATCATAACTTGTTCACACCAACATCTGACAAGGACTTTGGTAAATTAATTTTAGAATAGATACTCCCAGAAATTCTTAGGAGCTGACCGAGTGACTGCTAAGCATTACAGACCCTGCAGGGAACATTAGTTTTGCCAACAGGGCTACAACACTAACCCCTAGGGGCACATTTGCAATGGATTCCCCAAGCTAGCCAGAGGAAAGACTGGTGGTAATAAAATTACACAGGGAACATATAATTTAGGCTAAGGAAATTCTCCATATGGTGAGGTCAGAGGAAGTCTGTTCCCTCAGGGGGGTAGGCAGAAGAAAGAACTACTTCACTAGGTGATTTCTCTACTGAAGTTACAAATCCCTTTACTAAACAGAGCTCTGCAGAATCCTGTAACCCATTCCACCACCTCAGGCCTCCATAACTGTTGTGCTCAGCAATTGTGTTGTGTAATTATAAGGAGTGAAGGCAAACACGTTGAAGGGGATGGGCACACTTACCCCCTTGTTTCTTTCCAGTGCACTGCATTGCACTGGTATTCACTTTTGTGTGTGCAAATGCGCACTGACACTCGAGGAATTCATTCCACAAGAATGCCTTTTGATCCCAATTTACCTCATACTTGCACTGCAAAGTGGCACCACGTAGAGTGTCCGGTAGGTGGCATCACTCTTTGCTCCTAAACACAACGTAGTGCTGGGAAACAGCATAATAAAAGCCATCAGTTGCAAGTGGCTTATTGAATAGTTGGAAATTTACTCCAGAGTTAATTTCCACAGAACTCTGCATAGGTCTTGAATGGAAGGTTCTAAACTTAGTCTTAATGGATATTAACCCAAAGTGCACTTATGTGACATTTGAAAGCCTCTAAATTAATGACAGTGATAAATTTCCTTTGCTAAGAGCTCATTCAACCTGTCTGTGCAGTATTTCCCACCTGCTAAAGGCACAAGGTCCCTTCAGTGTCTCATTCCTGTGAGCAGGATTTTCCTGCCTTTTTGTTTTATCACCTACCTAACTTACTTTGCTTCACTGCAAAGTTCAAGAACGTTTTGCTTGTGTCCCTGGGGTTTTTTTTCATCTGAGAAGAAGAATTATCACAGACCAGAAAAGCCTACAGTGAGTCTTCCTCCTGGTTTTATGTGGAAGGCACTCATACTACAGTGATGCAGGCAATTAAAAAATAAAGATAGGAAAAAAACCCCACAATCAGAATTTCTGTGAAGGTGAGAAATGTGCATATTAAAATAACACCTTCTGTTCAACAAATCACTTAATTTTATTCAGAAGACTTATTCAAAGTTACACTTCAAGTCAGAGCTGCTAAAAAACCCAGCAGCAGCAAATAACTTTGTTACCATGTACTTTTCTCAGTATTGCAGAGCCCTCACAACTCAGCTGTGACAACAAGAAACCTATGTCACTATAACCAAATGCTTAAATAATTCAGAATCATTGCTATAGTGATGATGTACCAGACAAAGACACACTTTGTTCATCATCATGCCCCATCCCTGGCAGTGTTCAAGGCCACGTTGGACACAGGAGCTTGTAGAAACCTGGTTTAGTGGCAGGTGTCCCTGCCCATGGCAGGGGTTGGAACTGGATGAGCTTTAAGGTCCCTTCCAACACAAACCATCCTGTGATTCTATGATTCTGTGTACATGCATTTAATACAAGCAAGAGTAAAAGATAAGCAGACAATGAAGCCTGGCCCCGAAATATTATCCAATGAAGTATTAATTTTACTTCCCACTAGAGGTCACTGCCATGCTGTACTGAGCCCCTCGATCAACAGCCAGGGGAGCACCGTTCCCTTTGGCACCTCTGCGTATTTACCTGACAGGTACCTATTAAATAACAACCTTTAAATAAATGGCAAATTCCACATTCTCCAGTAAATTAGGCACGTTGCATTATTAACACTCAACACGTGAGGAGTGGGGCAGACTCCCAGCAAGAGCAATTTCACAAGCTGGTTCAGGAGGAAGATAATGCCTGAAAGGGAGTGAATTTCTGTAGTGTTGCCTCTGCAAAAGGTTGAAAGTTTTGAACACCAGGATAATTTCATCACCAACCAGAGCCCACCTGTGCTTTCAACCTGTCTTCCACAGAAGAAGCAGTGAGGCTAGCGTTCTCTCTTCCCCTGGTTTTGTGGCCAAGGAACCATTAAAAGAAGGTGACGTATGAGAAACATCACACATCTTAAAAAAGGAGGTGGTAATAGAGGGGTAAGGTAAAGTAGAGGCAAGCGTGTAAGGGCAGAGCAGTAGTGGTGTGGAAAAACAGGAGATTCTGCGTGCGGGAGGACTGGACCTCAGGGACAGGGAAGAAAAAAACCAAGGAAATGAAA